ATAGATAGATAGATAGATAGATAGATATAGATATATATACACACACATATTCTCAGTTAAGAAAGGAGTTTATAAAAAAGAAACAAAAAACAAGCATGGAGAAAGGAGTTCTTTAATTTTTCCGTTATGACATACCGGGCTGTTCAACTGACGCCGAGGTTCTGTTCAACTGAGGCCTAGGTTCAGCGAAAAGGTTGTATTTAAGTTCCCTTAAATACATTACTTTATTTACCCTCGGATTTCAGAGTAGTTTATGCAGCTAATAACTCCGAGCATTCAACCATCAGAAGGGAGATAGACCACCACACTGGGAACTAAGTCCCCTACTCTTTTCGATCAGTGTGTGGGTTCTTTTACGTCCTACAGAATTAATTATGAAGCGTTGTGAGACGGGGCCTACGGTTTATCGTCCCTATCCTTATTTTCCGCAATGCAAATTTCTTTGAACACACATCCTAAGATTTTCCTCTTTGGACCTGACAGCCCATTCATTTCGTAAGGATTATTTAGCTTTGAGATGAAAGGAGAAAGTGCCAATCCCTTCTTCTTTTCACCCTTGATTATCGTAATTAGTTAAGTGACAATCGTGCTCAGGATCTGATTGCTGAAATGGTAGAAAATGTCCGTAGATAAGTTTTTGTTGAACTTCCGTTAGTCTAGATTGGTTATCTGCCGCGGTAACTGTTATGTTGCTTTTTAGCATCACAGTTGAAGCCGGAGCAAGTGGACTTTCATATAACGGAGAATAGGGAGGCTCACAAAACAGATGACTACGAGGCTCAACAGCTGATCATCAGGAGAGGCCAGACATTTGACGTCACTGTGACCTTCAACCGAGAGTACCAGCCCGATAGTGACGTCATTATACTGCAGTTTGTGACAGGTTGGCAGTTAAACTTAACAACTGACGAAATGCTGAAACGTCAGTCACTCTGCTTTTATTTAAAATATAATAATCGAATTTATTTACCCTCGGTCAGTGTTTTTTAACCAACTAAAGGTTAGTGGGGCCGAGCAATTAAATTTCAGAAGCACATATTTCAAATAGAACATAACAAGGTAAAAAACCTTGACTGGCAGGAGGCAAACCAGTCAGCTACTTACAAGCGCAGCCGAGGAGTTGCACTCCGGTCTACCGTGAAACAACACCATTTCGTAGGTGGTCAGAACGGGCCTCGACCCAGCAACTTCCGGATTTCAAGTCGGGCGCCCCAACCACACGCTGGGTCCCTCAGATGACAACCATTCACAGCAGATTTCCTGTGCAACTCACTAAGTTAGGATATTCTATTTCAATAAATGGATTAATTTTTCAAATTTTTACAAGGGTCACAGGGATGAAATCGAAATATATTGTACGAAACTTCGCCAGAGTCGACGCCACAAAGCTGATTGTGATAATTACTGATTGGTTAGAACGCATGGCACGAGAAGTTTGAGCCAATAGTGAAGTTAATTGCATGGTTTTCATACATTTAAATGTCTTCTCATTTTCTTACCAACTTGATCTATTCCTGACAATATTTCAGGCAGTCGTCCTCAAGAAAGCAAGGGTTCCATTGTCCGAGTCCTCTTGAGTGACACTCTCAGCCCCGCTAAGTGGGGAATGAAGATTAAGCAGATCAGCGGTAATACCATGCATTTGGTGGTCATGCCTTCTGCCAAAGCTCTGATTGGACAGTATGAAGTATTCGTGGAGACCAAGATGACGACTGCAGCAGGAAAGAAATTAGTTTTGCGATATAAAGACGACGACACAATCTACGTCCTGTTCAATGCTTGGTGCAAAGGTAATTGAAATACCGTTGTCGACAAATATAGGTTACGCTGGCTGGGGGAAGTGAAGATATATGTGTTTTCCTGTGAAGAAAAAGGGGGTGGGAGCAAAATCGAAGCGGAAGCAGCCCTCAAAGCTCCTCTCTAAAATCTGCTACTGATGCATGTGACTTGACAACTCTTACATACAAAGAATTCATTCCGAATTGATTTATTCCTTACCACCAAGTACGAATCGGTAAGACAGATCCTTGATCTTTGCAGCACTCAGCCTCAATGGCCAGTACGTAAAGAGGCTTTATGTACGTTCTACAGAGTACTCTTATTAACCAGATGAGTCCCCAAGTGATTACAATGCGTAATTGTAAGAGTCCAAGGCGCGGTGGCCTCATGGTTAGTGCACTGGGCTCCGGATCACGCGGTTCGGGCTGGAGTCCTGGCCGGGGTCAATATGTTGTCTTCCAGCTTGGGCAAGACAATTTAATCTCAGAGTGCCTCTCTCCACCCAGGTGCATAATTGGGTGCCGGCGAATTTAATGCTGGAGGTAACCCTACGATGGACTAGCATCCCATCCAGGGGGGAGTAGAAATACTCCTTGACGCTTCATGCTACAGAAACCAGGATACGCTCCGGCCTGATGGGCCACTTGACTCGCATGCAGACTTTACCTTCCTTAACCGAATAGGGAAAACGTTGCTTTTTTATGAATAACTCGTCCGATTGCAGTAGTGTCTTTCCACGACTTCTCAGCACTTTGGTTTCTTTTATTATTCATGACAGAGGACTCAGTGTTTATGGAGAAAGAGATTGATCGTGAAGAGTACGTATTAGCAGACTTTGGTTACATCTGGGTGGGTTCTGCCAGAAGAAACGAAGGAATCCCGTGGCAGTTTGGCCAGGTGAAAGATTCGTTGTAAAAAACTAGCTCATAATCTAGTTTTAAGATACAGAAAGATGGCTGCCCCCCCCCCCCCTCCCCCGGCAATCTTTTGGTAAATGTGTCAGCAATCTTTTAGCTTTGGCGGCTCATTTCACAATGTATTCAGTTAAGTACCATGACAGAATACAGAGTACAGAATACAGTTTGACACAATTTCACCTCATTGTTGTATTTTTTTGTCAGTGTGTTTCTATTCATCTCTTAGTTTGAAGACGTCGCCCTGGAAAGCGCTCTGTTTTTGCTTGATAAAGCGGAACTTTCCCCTACAGCGAGGTCCAGTCCAGTCCAGATTGTACGAACCATATCAGCAATGGTAAGCACTGTGAAATACTGCGTCACTTTAGAATTCGATTCACTCCTTTGGCAACCTCGGGCGCGACCTTTTCTCTTGAATCTTGAGGGAGTGTCAAGCCATAGAAGAAAATTTAGAATTCCGTTCACAATATACTGTAGGATAAACTGGACAGACTTGAGCCGCGCAAATTGGTCTTACCCTGGCCCTCGGATATCAAAATAGTTACAATATTTAGTTAAAAGGGAAGCCACTTCGGCCTTAGCAGGATTTCATGCGAGTCCTCTGTCCTAGTGAATGGGATTTGGGGATATCGAACCACCCGGAGAAAAACCCTCGGAGCAAGGCTACGCGCCGGAATCAAACTCAAGCCAGTTGGTAGGAGGCAAGCGCTCTCACCACTGGGCCATCCCTGCACCCGGCCAATAGCGATATGAGCACACGTAGAAGTTTAAATCTCACATACCTTTTTTTGCCAAGGCTAATTACAATGACAGTGACGGTGGGATCCTTTTCGGCCGATGGACTGAGACCTACCCTAAGAATTGTACTCCACCGACTGCCTGGACCGGAAGTACTGCTATTCTGGAAAAATTCTGGAAAAAGAAGTTTTATGTGAAATACGGCCAATGCTGGGTCTTCTCTGGACTGGTCACAACATGTAAGCAGTAGCTACAGGATAATTGTATCCGCACAGAATCCAATCGAAGTGCATTTCAATACATATGTCTCAATTGCATTTATGATTTATAAACACCCTTAACGTTTTACTTTTGTATTTTAGTGTTGCGAGCACTGGGCTTACCAACCCGAAGCGTTACAAACTTCCAATCAGCTCACGACTCGGACGGTAGTATGACCATTGATTTTCACTACGACGAGGAAGGCAATCCAATTGATGATCTAGATGACTCCATATGGTGAGTGGTATAATTGAGCTGGGCCACTGAACCTCATGAAATGATATGGAGTCGAAAACACTAAATTCATCTCAGTTAGAGTCGGATTTAAAAAGCAAGAACTAAAGCTTTGGCTCATGATTGCCTTTGCGTGTGAACAGGCAACGATCATTGAGAAACAATGCATGAGTCCTGCAATCTCAGCAATTAACTTTTCGGATATTTTCCAAGCTGTCTGCTGCAAATTTAGCAGATCTCAAATCTATCAATAATCAGTCGGTCAATCGTTGAGTCGGTCAGTCACTCTGTCTGTCTGTCTGTCTGTCTGTCTGTCTGTCAGTCAGTCAGTCGCTAATGTAATCAGTAAATTATGGCTTTAGGATAAGTCTTTTTTTATGATGTAAAGCGCACTTCATTTTAGGGGTAGCCGCGCTATATAAATTTTTAATATTATTATTACAAATCAGCGAGTCACTCAGCCACTCAGTCAGCCAGTCAATCAGTCAGTCAGTCAGTCAGTCAG